CTCCTTATACAAAGCACATCGACCACCTAAAAATTTTTGAAAAGTTACCCCCCCCCCCTCCCCTCCTTTTTCCTCCCTCATTTACTTCGCTGCAAGGAACGGAGATATTCAGAACTAGTAACTTGAATAATAACAAATGTCAGCAGCAATCACTCGATAGCGGAGCTATCATGGTTCGCTCTTTCGAGGGTTACTTAGAGGCAAGCTGATGGCGATTTCGGTTAGAACTAAATGAAGGAGTCGCTGTAGGATTAATTGTTTTAGTAGTGGAGTCGAACTCTCGATCTCCTGCTGCACTGTTTGCCAACTCCTTGCATGGTACCATCGTATACGTATATCGAATGTGAAGCTCCTTATAGCTGTGTTATTTCCTGTGCAGATTTCTGGCCTTTTTTACGATCTCAATTATTATTCATTTCAGTGTCTGATGAGTGATTTCTTTTGAGTTTTTTAATTGTATATGCGATCAGTAAGCGGTAATCTTTGAGAAATATTGTAGGTATTAGGGCATAAGTAGCAGATGTTCCCCCTCTTATCAGTTAGATATGCTAATTAACACGAAAACATTAGATTACAGGTAACATGTCATAACCTGTACCTGGCAGCGGGTCGCATTTACACATTCTAGATAGGCTAGTCACCTGTGTAGGATGTTGCTCGTTACCTGTACAAGACGCTGCTCGTTACTTATATAGAGTAGTTATCTTTCTGGAAATTTGAAATAGGTTTTTTGTTAAAATTCGATAAACCCAGTCATTAATTTTGTGATATTTTTGTACATAATGGCAAAAGCCTTTTCAGTTGCATCAGGAATTATTCTGTTTTGAATCTGTTGATATTAATAAAATTTTAAATATTCCAAATGTTGCAAGGCTTTTTTTTACTTCTTGAAGTGTTCAAACGCTCAATAATCTTTGACGGTATAAAAAATTTTGTATTCCATCATTTAGATAGGAGATATAGTGATTTTGTGAAGATGTTAGTGATGGTATATATAAAGTACTAAAAAGAGCACTGACTCGCCAGTCCCTCTACGATTCGTTCATTCGTTTCGATGGTAAATTGGACTAACATGTGCCACGGGGAGTCAAACCCGCCATGGGCTCGATTCTAAGAAATCCTGGAAAAAGGTAGCCATGGATAAATTTAGCGGGGTAGCTGCTGTTGGCACTGTCTACCACTGTTTCTGTACTATTTTGAGGATTTAAAGCTGGGAAAAGGGGCTGTTTTGCTTCTTTTTTGTTTGAAATTCGTGTTTAGGGAACAGTTGACTCAAAAAATTCCTTGAAATCCATGTTTTACCCGTTGAGTT